TCACCAAGATTGATGCGCTGGCTGACAATCGCAATCATTATTTTGTGTGTTGCCAAGCGACGTTAATTATTTATGTTCAGTAATTATGACAGTTATTATTATAATTAATTCCATTTTCATTTAAACAAAATACGCAATATGTCAGAAAATTGTTAGTATTTTGTTTCGCATATAAATTGCAAATGGCTCTACTAACAGTAAACTTTCTGTTTTTTTACTTGCATTACATTAGTTAAACAAACCTTGTCGAATTATCGGAGAGGTAAGTTCAATAAAGGGATGAGAACTTCATCGACGTTTGTTACAAAATATTTTCGGCCGTTCACAAAACAGGGCTGAATAAAAAGAGCCCGTTATGAATTCGAACCGCAGTTTTATATTCGACAGACCGTATGGGGTGACGTGTCTTCAAAAAGGGTTGAAAGGAAATGTTATTGTCGGCGTCGCATTGAGTCGCGATTATAAAGCGCGACCAAAATGATTGAGGTTTTCATTTGTGATTGGGAACCTTCTGCGATACTTTTTTGAAACAGCTAAGGAAAATAACATAATTACTAATCAATGTGCGTACCTAATAAAACAAAAATAAACTTTTATTGAAAAATCTTAAATAAGGGATGTTTGTTCAGCTCAGTCTGTCACAGCATCTAACTAAGTACAAGAAAAATTGATCCAAGTTCAATTCAAAATTGATACTTTTTGAGATAATAAATAACCTTGGATATTGATTTTCCGATATTTCGTCAGTGTGTAATTTCTTTAAATGAAATTATAGAATTCATTTCATTTGTATTACAGGAACTTATTAATTGAATTATAAAGTTAATTTAAAAATGAATCAATAATATGTGGAGCTATAGGTTGTAAAAATGTCATGAATACTAACTATTTATTACTATGAAATATTCAGCATTAACTGTGACTTGATTAAGAAAGTAATGGAAATAATATATAAATAAAAAAAAAACAATAATGCCCCCCTTTTGTTCATGGTATAAATAAAATCGAATTTTATAAGTTTAGGTGAAGTTAATATGAATTTTTATAAAATATTTATTATCTCAAAAAAAAGAAAACCAAATAAAACTGTAGAATTTAAAAGTAGAAACACATAAAAGGTCTTCCACTTACCAAAGATAGGTGGTGTAAGAGATTTATAAGATACACTATATAATAGTAACCAAACACTACACATATATTAACATATTTTGAGTTTTAACATTTTCGATGTAGTTCTAAAAGAATTTCTATATGGAAACGAAACGTCTAAGAAACGGTATCCAACTAAGTAGGTGCGCTCCTAAAAAATCACAAAATGGCCAATACGTCAAAAAAATCTCAAAATATCAAATTTTCAAGTATCGTAGTAAACTAAAATGCAACGTTTGTCTATATTGTAATCAGTTAATAAGCATTTTCGCTTAAAATTGAACTGAGGTGGGTTTTACTTCATGAACGCAATTAAATTATAACAAAAAAATGATCAGATTTTCGAAAACCCTGTGCCCTATCAAATACCTTTTTTTTATCATATTGTATACTTTGGTATGTCTGGTTTAAGAAACTGTTTGGTTAGTATATTCTAGAGAATCCATAGCTCCTTTATTTGCTCTTGTAAATACTGTAAGTATTTCATAAAGCAACGGTGTTTAAGAAACAGATGTCATAAACGAATAACCAATAATAAATAATATTTTAGTGCATTAAGCAAAATTTTCTTAAACTGTGAACGATCAAGCGTCTAACTAAATATACGCCTGGATACAATAATATGGCTTCGTCGCTTAAATAAACATAACAACGAACGAATAAACCGAACATGTGCATCCCTTAATATAGATTATTACACAGCCACGACCATCCCTAATATCTGTCAAATTCAAATGAATAATTTAACCAAAGATACATATCTAATCAATTACCTGGGGACGACATATTATACAAAACCGTAATGGCGTTATATCAGACCTCTGTGCCATCACCCCTGTTTGATTTAAACCACTTGCCTTGATAATATATAGAGCATTACACAAAGCGGATTGCCAGCCGTTTGTCGTAATAAAATTCTGTAGGTATCGACTTAGGTACTATTGTAATTTTTATTATTTATTATTTTCGTTCTCTACTTCTTACTTTTTGTAATGATATAGCCTTTATTTATCGAGAAATAATACAGTACTGCCCTTATCGATACAATTGAAAAACAAGAAAATGATTTGAACATAAACGCGAAGTATCAACCTAACCTTAAGGTTCAAGAAAGATTAAAATTACATTTACGAAAATGAAAACTTTGAATACAATTTTGTTAAACTTTTTTTGCCTACATATAATAAATTCCCTTAGTAACTGGTTTAGTATTTTAGCCGCTTTGCAAAAAAAAGGATTTTTTGAGAGAAAGCAAAAACAAAATCGGTTTCGTTCTATAGTCCCAGTCAGAGAATACAGTGTGGAGTCTTATCGAGCGCACCGTTGCCAGCTTTAGCATCGCTGGTATTGGGCAAGAATCAGCTCCGGTATCGAACAAATTTCACCGCTCGAGTCCAAATTTTATGTCAATTTTTGCTTTACCCAATTTTTATGTACATCTAAATAGATGATATTACAATTTTGTTGGCGATATTTCTTGATTGACCTTAATTAATGAATAATGTCTGTTCGCTCTAAAATTATACTTAAAGAAAAACTTGGCAAGCCTAATCCCCTAGAATAATTTTATAATTTGGAATTAAAGTTGAAGGAATGTTTTTGAAAAAAAAATCGTTATGAACGATTTGTCTGAATTAACTCTTAAAATATTCATTATATTATTAGTATTAGCGCAAGAATTTGACTGACTTGGTGACTTTTTTCTTCGAGTAGAATTTATAAATTCTCCATTTTTCTGTTCCCTTTCTTTTCCACTAACATCGCTCAGTTTTGAAGCGCCGAGTGACTTGGAGTATGGATATGCATTATGTGAAAATGTTTTACATTCTGAATTCTTTGGAAAAACTGAGTGACACTGTCCTTCAAAAGTTCAGAAATCGGGTCGGCGTAGGACAATCTAGAAATGATCAGGTTTAAATTGCAGCTCATGGCGTCACTTGGATAAGCAGCATTAATATACCATAAGAAAATAGACCACAAAATATTCACAATCCCAGAAATTGTATTTCCAAATCAATACCTGACAGGGCCTGAAGGTCTTGATCGATCTTAATTGCTGCCTGCAATACTTGCCCAGCATCAAAGTAACCGCAAATCGCCAGAAAAATTATGTGGTGAAAGGTGCTTAAGTATAACGAAGAAATCAGATCAGATCAGAAAAAATTGCGATTTTTATGGGCTACACCGTATGAAATTGAAATATTGTCAAATTACTTGTTGAGCCCACTTACATTTACTGGATTTATGAACAACTTCTAAACATGTTTTTTGCTTATTTCTTTTTTTTAATAATGTGAAAGTTTTTTTGGGCCTAACGTAAATTTTTCGCGACAAAATTAAAACTACTGGTTTATTTTCTTCTGTTGTTCTTAAAGAAAAAATTCTAGAGGTCTATAAATCTGCAATACCACAAAAAACAATAAAAGAGCAATTCAGGGTGACAAAACAAGTTGTTTCAATAGTTATACAAAATTTTCGGCGCCGTGAAGCAGTTTATAACTTGAAGCGAGAGGGAAGAAAAAAACTATATAAAGCAAGAAGATGGGAGAATTAATAGAATTAGTCAAATCTGTCCGCGGTTTTCCCCAACTCAGATTTTAGCATAATTGGGTACACAAATCTTCAAGAACCATCCGATGTCGCTTAGTGGAACCCGGACTTCCTGGAAGAAGATCAGCAAAAAAATCGAGATGCACATCAAGTACATTTTTGGTGCTGTAAAGCAAGTTATAGTCTGGGGTTCCTTTTCTGCCTATGGAATGGCTCCTATTCATAGAATTGATATTAAAATGGATCGATTTTAATATTATGCTAAATTAGAAATCATATGCTGATTTAAATCAGATAGAGAAACTATGGGAGATCGTTGAAAAAAAAATCCGCAATAAAAAAACCTGAAATAAGGATCAATTTTGGCAAGAAATCCAAAATACTTGGAAGTCTATAGGCAATGAAACAATCTGATCTCCTCGATGCCAAAAAGGTGCCAGCATACTATTATTTTTTTAAGTATATTTGTTACGAAGTGGACTGTATTTTTGGCTGGCCGGTCTCAGAAAGATAAAAAAAGTTAAAAAAAAAAAGATTGTCAATCAAATTACGCTACAATCGGGTGTGAGTTGGAAACTCACTCAATATCAAAAAGAAAATACAAAAATAGACCCAAAAAACAGCATTCGTCCTTTATGCGACGGTGTTTATTACCAATATTATTTTATACACATATATATATATATACAAGGCTGCTCAAGATTGAACAATATATATCATATAACATTTATACTATAGGCTAATGACAAAACAAATTCGCGACTAAAATGGCGTGTATCAAACTAGTTGCATAATATACTATTTAAGGAGGCTTTGTAAATTTATAGCAATCATACAGAGGCGTTTGATAAATATAAATGCAACATTTGGTTGCCAGCAGAGCGATATAAAACCGAATGGTTGATAAGGTATTGACGAAACTTACACCTAGACAACATACTCATCTGAACATCACAGAAGAAAAAATATCAGCAATTTTAAAATGGAGTTAAAGAAAAATCTTTCAAATGTCCTCCGTAATTTCATCATTTTTTTTTCAGTAAATTGCGTAGATCGCGCAACAAACGCCGTTAAAAATTCATGCCGGAGTACATCGGCGACATTATCCACAAAGAGGCATATCAGACAATATCTCTTATGCCATCTTCAGACTCCACCCAATATGTGTCGGCAAACAAACAGAGGGACGGTCTATCGCCACTTCGGAACGGCACCGGATTGGCCGTCAACTTACAAATAGGCGTATCTCTGACGTTATATAAGACTCTTGAGCCGCGATATACCTACCTATGGGACGGCGTTTTAGTATAATACGACGTACGTTAAAAGAAACATACCGGCGGTAACGATGTAAATATGGTTGTTCCGCAAGGCTCGTCGCATCCCGCCGTCGCTGCAGTGATAACGATGTCGAATACGCCGCTGAAATCGTTCACGATTAATTCGATCTTGCCGGAAACCGCGCTAGACACGTGTAGTACCACGCCGGACGTGGACGGAAACGCGAGCAAACCGGAAGTTTCGTCGGAAGACGGCGACGCAAGTGAGTGCGAATCTGATTTGGACGTTACCGGTACCACCCCGCCACTGGATTGTTCCGGCAAAGCGAACGACGAAGACGAGAAGGTGTCAGACGGAGGTACGGTACTTTAAAATACGTTTGATATTGCGGTACTTATATGTAGAAAGATAGATATTTAAATTAAATTTATTTAAATATTTACAAAAAAAAAAACAAAGACACGAAATAAAAACAGTGCCCCATACTACACTAACTCAACTATGTTTTCATTTTTAAATAAATAAATAATAAATAAATAGGTCTTTATTTTCCAGCACAATTCAACAAATTACATTTTTTTTACTAACTAAACTAAAAAATAGAATAATTTCCAGAAAAACGCCGAGGATCCTGTTTTTCATCTTAAGCGGAGAAAATATAAACTATTTATTAAAATTCTAATATCTTACATAATAGAATATATTAATAGAAAAATATAATAATTATGAATTCCGAACCTATGGAGGTATCCTAATTGGCGGTTATTACGAGGCAAAATCTTGTTATACAGATGAATCGGCTTTTTGTTTAATGTGATTTAATGAAACATACATGTTTGCATGGTGGATTTTTCTCCATTTCATATTCAACCACTTGCTTTTACTTACATAATTTTTGAGAAAGATGTTGTCTTCGTCCGATCCCACAAATGAGTTTTGGACATGAATTTTGCACTACCTGAATTCTCCGTATGTCTGAAGAACCGACAGGGTCCATGAAAAACATCTCCGTAGTTAAATCTTAAACATTCGCAATTTTATTTTTTAGTGTTTTGGCCTAAATATTGCCGTACCTGACATATTTGCTTCAAAACTAGAAGAATCAGAATACTATAAAGACGTAAATGATTTGATAGAATGAGATATCAAAATCTCGTGAAAATATATTCAAATATATAAATTAACCGTAGACATAGAAAACACTAAATACATGCCATTATAATTGTATATTATAAATGTATAAAATTTATCACTAGTTCGTTTTAAATGAGTGACCGAGGAACTTTAGTAACTATTCATTTTTGGGTACATTTTTGCAAAGCAGCACGAAAAAGTTCACACAAATTTGACTGGGTAATATATCCGAAAATCCTAGAAATATCAGAAGTGGCTATCTGAAAGATTTTGTGGATAGAACTTATTTAAAGATTCTAGAAACAAACAAATCCACATCCGACCACGTCTTTAATAACACATGTCAAAAGACACGCAAATACTCTTCTTCTAGGTTGTACGATGAAAGAATTCGAAAAATAGAAAAGTCCAGCTTGGATATAGATAGGCAAACTTTTAACACCCTATTAATACAGCCAAAATGTCTTACCAACTTTTTAAACTCATTATGTGACTTTCAAAAGTCCTTGTAACTTGAATATGAATGTGTAATTTTGTGAACATCACGTACGCATTTAGTGCTTCTGTGATTTGTGACTGTTTATTCATAAAAAATTTATTTGTTTAATGTTTTCTCTTATATTATTAAAAATTCTGCCAGTGTGGTTTTCGACGATTACGTATAAATTTAGTATTTTGCCGTATTTATTGTGAAGTTTCTGGTTTGTCTTGAAATTTTTCGTATATTAAAGTTCGCTAAATCAACTTAGTTTATTCTTCTATAATAAAAGACATTCATATAATAACGCGGTGCGAAAAATGTCAAATGTGATTTTTAACATGACTTCCAAATAATACATTTTTGGTTCAATATAAATAAACTCTCTTTGAATTACGATAAAATTACCTCTTGCAATTTATCGTAACTATTTGTCAAACAACAATTAAGAAATCCCGGAAGAAACGTCTATTAAATACCTGAGAATAATTAATAAAATGAGATTTACAAATAAAAAATGTAAATAAAAAACATGGATTATTACCAACATTTGGTTACTTTAAGAAATTCTTAACTGTATCTAGTACCATCACTCCTTTTGTATAGGATTATTAGTTGAGGTGGAGTGTTTAAATGTGATTATGACCAAAAGTTCTAAGCAACTTTCAAAAATTGTTTCCTTATCTGTGACAAAGTAAAAGCTTACCCCACAGACTTGCTTCTCCAGCAAACCAATAACATCTAAATGGGTAAAATGAAGATGAATAGGGAACGTAAAGTAAGTATAGCTTTCTCTCAAATTCATCCCAGAGCTCAGCGGAATATTGTGCACTAAAAATATTTAATCTTTTACCACTAAATATTCAAACTGAAAAATCCTTCCATAAATTTCGGTTAATTAATCTAAAGTATGTTAGATAATAATATTGTGGTTAATATTCTGTTCTTCACTTTTTTTTGGTTTCAAGGTAACAAGCACGACCATGCTTTTATGATTTCGATGCATTTATTCTTGCTCTAGTATGTATAGGAAATTGTATTATAATTATTGTAAGATAAAAATTAACTAAACGTTATTATTATTTGTGAAACAAACACAAATGAGGAATTCAATGCGCATATTTGATGAGATTTAGGATTTGAAATATCTCTTTTAACGTGGTTCTTCGTTAAAGTTTTTGCAATCTTTTTACCATTGACAACAATTGTCTGTTTGAGTTTACAGCTTAGTATTTCGAAACTCATTCAACAAATTAATAATAAAAGAAAGAAAAACTTTTGATAAGTTCTACTCACTTGATGTAATTATTGCGTATCCTGGCATTTCTTCAGCCGTTTATCCAAAATTACTCTCCGATTATTGTTTAAAGAACCCTTCCTTTCATTCCGTGTTGATCAAACTTTCTTGTATCTTCCGGATTAGATAAATCAATATGTATACATCTGAAAAGCTTATGATGGACCATTTTAAATAAACGTAAGGCGTACGTATATTTATCAATATTATTTATTTTAACAAATATCCAATTATGTTCTAAACGTCAGCTTTATTGAATACTGTCGCCTACCACTTCGAGCATTCCGGTACTTTAGTCACGGGTTGGCAGTTATCGGATGTGTACGGTATATTTAAAGCGTTCATGGTATTTTGACGTTTGTCATGGTTATGTCACACGGCATTCATAGAATGTGTTCGATGGACTATGCTCTGTCATTGTTCAGTTGTTAAGTTATCGCCTTATCCCAGGCACTTTAAGTGTCTAGTTCTTATTGCGCATTGTTTTCGCTTTGTCAAAGAATTCGTTATCACATAATGACTAAAAATTTAAAAATATATATTACGCAATCCTATTAACCACCAATATATTTAAAAATGAAACAAAATGTTGTTTGTAATAATCGTTAGCTAGGAAATTCGTATTTCTGGCTAAAACTAAAAATTCGCGAAGGCAACATACCCACAAAATACATTTTCTAAAAAATATTGCCAAATGGTTTATGTAAAATTTTAATATCTGCTACTTTTTTTAAGAATAACTAGACGTTTAACCGTTTATATTTTTTGTTTTTAGAGAAGGAAAAAAAGCCCAATGACAAACCCCCTTACAGCTATAATGCCCTTATTATGATGGCGATACGGAATAGTCCCGAGAAACGACTAACATTGAACGGAATCTACGAATATATTATGAGAAATTTTCCGTACTATAGGGAAAATAAGCAGGGTTGGCAAAATTCGATTAGGCACAACCTCAGTCTCAACAAATGCTTTGTTAAGGTAAAATATCATACATACAAATACGTCTTCATTTTCAAACATGTCTTCGTATTCTATTGCTTCGTTAAGGATCTCCCAAACCAATGTGGCGAAATCACAACAGTTGCGAATATTCACTTCGGCAACCATAGACAAATTCAAATTAGCACGCATTTCTTTATTTTGACTGCGATTTATTTATTTATTTAGTGATTACGCAATGGTTCTTGAAATGTGAGCATGTACATGCAGAGTTTTCAATAGGATATGTGGAACACCTAATAAATAAAGAAAAATATTGAAATGTAGCGAATTATTGAATTATATGACTTTTCTCACGAGTATTACGGCAATGTTTTTAAAAAAGACTAAATTAGAAAAACGAGATGAAAATAGTAATTCTAACGATATTATATATTTCTATACAAAAAATTTAACAAATCCTACAACATTGTTTCATACAGAAAAGGCCAGTTTTGCTGCTCTTCTTGGACCACTTTCATCATTTTTGAAAGCTCCAAATTTCTGCTGGACCTCCAGATGAAAACTTGTCATCGAGCATACGTTTTTCCAATTAGAAGATGGCACCTCCATCTACTTCAACTACGAGCACAGTGTACATTTCTTACTTTGAAAGTGCTACTCTCACAAGACAACTGGACAACTGTAAGGCCTACCAAATCAATTCTGAATTCTGGAGAATCAGTTTCTAACTTAATACATTTAAGTTATAAAAGCACTATTTAGTTTACAAGAAAACACTTCAATTAACCGACCTGCAAATTGAGAACCATCTCTTCCAGAAATAACTGGATATCTCCGAGGCTAAACTAGACCTTCAAATACAGTCACCTATAGAACCATATCTTCTGTTAAAAGTTTATCTCTCTGCTCTCCCAACGACACTGGATACCAGAGACAAATGGACAGCTCCGAGGCCTACTAAACGAATTTCGAACCCATATACACAACATTAACCTACCATATCCTGACTATCTCAAAGCTACTATCTCATGTACTACTATTTAGTTTTTCAATTAGAAGAAATTACTTCAATAAATGATCAAGCTAACACTGCAAATGCAGATATTTATAGAATCATCTCTTTCTTTGAAAGTGCCTCTCTCGGCTCTCCTCCCAAGTGATGCTACGTTTCAGAGATAGAGACAGGACAGCGAGGTCTACCCAATTGCTAAAGAATCAGGGTCCAAATTCCTCAATACTTTTCAGTCATATAAGTCATAATAAATCTGCTACATATTTGCTTAACTTGACCGATCATTTATTCTAAATACATGTTTGAAAACGTGGTAAATTTTGGTTCTTACCTGGTCGCTCTTCAGGTAAAATAGCTTGTCGAAATTTGTGCTTAATTTTAGATTGTAATTTTCCTTAACATGTAAAAGTTCATCAAAAAGAAGCAACCGATATTCTACAATAAATAAAAAATCTCATATCGTGTTTTCTTAATTGTGACGTGGGTTAATTTTGGTTATGGTAATGGTGCAAGGCACAACTTCATCCGATTGATATTTTTTTTTGTTTTTTCGTTCAAGCGCTAGTGTTTAACGTTTTTAATAATCAATATCTAAATCCTTGATGAAATATTTCCTTAGCGTTGGTTTGGGGGGTTTTTTATACTTAAAATTTGTTGTCAACGATGATGACATTAAATGTTTTTTCAGTTGGAATATTTGCATTTACAGGTACCTAGGCATTACGATGACCCTGGCAAAGGTAACTACTGGATGCTAGACCCATCTGCCGAAGACGTATTCATTGGGGGCACTACGGGCAAACTGAGGCGAAGATCTACGGCCGCTTCCAGAAGTCGTCTGGCAGCGTTCAAACGATCACTGTCGGTCTACTCTCCTCTGCAACCTTGTTATCCACCCTTTTACCCTCCGACGCCTGCCCTTCTGGCCGCTTATTCGAGATACAATCCGTATTTGCATTCGCTACCACGAACGGCGTTGCCGGGTCAACCGATGTTTCCTTTGGACAAAGTGCTAAGCGCGTCGGCGCCTGACTTAAGCAACATGCCGCCGTTCTTTAGGCCGCCCACCGCCTTATTGCAAATGTACAATAATTTGAGGTTAGGAAGTCCTTTGCAATACCCTTTGCAGTTGCCCTTCATGAATTTGAGTCAGCAAAATCCAGCGTGTTCTTCGCCAACGGATTCCGGACCTCCGCCACCACCGGTTGGCGAGGGCCTTCTGAAGCCAGTGACGGTGATAACTAGGAACAATTAACTAGGGGATAGAAACGAGTGGCTGAAGTAAATACGTAGTTGGACGCTGTAAATATTTTGTTAATAATGTACAAAAAGATGTGGCTAGTAGATATTCGTGTACATACAAGTCCGATATGATTAAAGTTATTTATTACCAATCGATTGAACTTTTGGATTTGTTACGTTACTCGAGTAAAAGTTTCTCTCGTATCAAATACGCAAAAAGATCTAGATTTGGACCGCTACGGTACAACGAAAACGTATGTGTCCCATTTGAGATGTGTTTTTATGAGGCACTCCGTTATTATTGAGATGCCGGTTGTTTCTGTACTACTCTTTGCCACTTAAAAAAATAATATAATCATATTTCTATAAGCACATGTGTCAGCCACGAAGTAAAATTAAAAAATTGTCAATTTTAAAAATGAAAGTTAATGTTTTGGCTATAATCTGCTATAAGTCAAGCGCGAAAACCAATTATTTGTCGCAAAAGGAGGGGTTTTCAGTACATATCTGCATTTCTCAGTTGGATTTCCGTGCAATAAGAGGCGAAAAAGAGATCGAAATCGGCAACTATTTGACTCAGAAAGGGAGTTTTACGTCGAAATCTAATGGTTTATTAAGGTTTTCGTTACTATAATGCTTAAAAACGCCAATTTTGACTAGTATTTGAAAGATATTGACATGAATATGTAACTGTTTGTATCAAAAAATGATTGTTTAAGCTGATATTTGCAGTTCTGATGTGGTATTAGGTACGATATATGTCGGAGAAGCCGATTTTGACTGGAATCTGCTTGAAAATGGAAGAAAAACCTATTATTAATCCAAGAAAGTGGTTCTTTAAGTAGTTATCTGCCACTTAAAAAAGTAAGTAAGTAAAATTGAAAAATTGGCAATTTTAAAAAATCGTATGCATTTGAAATATGAAATCATAGTTTCTTTTTCAGAACTACCATCAGGGGTCGAAATCTTAAATAATTTGATTTTTTTTTATAATTTATTATGACATCGAATTAGATTGTTCTCGTGATGGTTCAATTTAAATTTTACTTCAGCTATGTTTAAGCTCAAAAGTGCTTACGAACCGATTTACAGTCGGGTAGCTACAACCCAACTTCTGTGTTATATAGCACTTGTCTGAAAATGTAATAAGATTATGAGATACGAGAAAAGATTGGAAAGAGTCTGTCAAAAATTATATTTTTTATTTTTGGTCGAATAAAGTGTTTTTTTCACGATTGTAATCAGTATAAGTGCAATAAATATTTAAAAGCGCTAGCCCAAAAGTAATTAATGTTACGCAAATCTTTTAATTAGCATCTTAGGACCACTGGAAATTAATTAAAATTATTTTGTACTATTTACAAATCTTCTGGATTCCTCCTCCATCGGTTCTTTATAAATCAGCTGAGGTCTGAAGAAGCCAACAGGATGATTGGCAAAACGTCAGCAAGTTCGATTTATAAACAACCGACCCAGAAGGAATCCAGAAGATTTGTAAATAGTATTACAGTGGCCTGTGGAAGTTTCTTAAAAAATATATTTTGTGTGTACTAATTAAAGATCAAATGGAAGAAGTATGGGTACTCAAATTTTATTTTTATTATTATTATACTCAGTATTACTGAATAATCACTGAATAAAGTGCTGACCACTACCAGTTAAATGACGACCGCAGAAGTTACGATTATGCTGTGATTGACCGGTAAGTACCAGAATTCTATCGCTGAATAATTTCCAAAATATTTGGACAACCAATCAAAAAGCGAAATGATTGGCTAAGGACTAATTTTACCTAGGTATGATATGGGTTTGTATGGGATAAAACGATCTACTTATTTGGGGAGACATATGAAATTATCTTTCGTCTTAACCACGAGTACAATATATGCTTTATTCCATCGGAGATTTGTTGTTTCACTCAAACAACGATATACATACAGGGTGTCTTCCATGGTTCCTAACCATGCATACACCCTGCTTGACTATAGGTGACGAATATTTCGTTTTAAAGGATTAAAAGGATTTTTTTTCTGCCCAGAGCAAACAAACTGTCTTCAGAGCAATATTTATTTAAAATCGCCAGCATACAATTTTTTTTAAGTTTTAATTTTGATAAAAATCTGCAACAAATCTTTAACTATTTCAAAAATAAATCATATGTTTTGTGGCAGCACAGTCTCATAACATAATAATCCTTTGATAATTTTTGCATGCCTTTCATAATAACTAACTTAATGCTAAACCCATATGTTTTCAATTTCACTGTATCTAGGGTTTTGCTAAAAGTTTCCGTCATTATAAAAACAATTCTGACATTTTGAGATTTGATTCAAAATATTTTCAAAATCGTACCGCTAACCGCCTTTGGCTTCATTATTTTAAGTGAACTAATAGAACGGATGAACGAAGCTGTCTAACAATAACATTTCAGTTGATTCGCCTCCCAAAAATAGCCTGAATCGATTCAACAAAATGTTTGAGTTCTAGCAAATCATGTGTTTTCTCTTTAGATGTTTAAAAGGATAATAAATTACAAAAAATGAATCTCGACCGTGCGCGTTCTCAAGCAATTAAACAATTTGAACTCACCCAATCGGCCGTCATTCTTGTCTCGCAAATAATAGCCGACTTCAGCAAAGTCACTTTTTTCCGAATTAAAATTTGCACCAATTATTACGCTCACTGTTAGACAATGGAAAAGGCATTAATTTAGTATTTAGTACATATATGTCATGGACGTGTGCATGAGTACATTTCGTCACTCGAATGCAATCGAAACCTTTGGCTTAATTCTTTTACCTCCGATGCAACGTCATAATGTGTAATGATAATTGTGAAAGCATCTCTAATAGAAAGGCATAATAGTTCTTGAGGGGCAGTGGTAGATATTTTCCGAGATAGAAAGCATTTTTTGGATTAACATTTGTAAAACATATACTTTCGGATATACCTATTATAAAAAAAACTTAAACCGAAAATATTTTACTAGAGACAACGGCCAAAAATGATCACCTCTATATAGACTACTTCAGAAACGGGTAGAGTAGGCAAAATTTGTGATGTAAATAAATAATTATTTATGTATTTATAGCGAGCAGCCTTTTAGCAAAACTAGAATTATTTTTAATATTTTTGTGTGCCTATTAGCGAATTAAAGAAATTGAAGTTGCGCGCTCGTTTTATTCAACGAACTTTGAATTGTTTACCTAATACCCTCAAATTCTTATTCTTTTATGGCGTAGACGCCATAAGACCGCGTAAAAGGACCGAGCTCAAACCGATCCGTCAAATTGCCCGAACGATTGACATTTTTGGGCACCACACCGCAGATAACATCTGCTACGGTCGGCCGGTTAGTTTATAAAAGAAAAATGACGGCTTTATTTCGATACACGGGAGCTTTGATATCATATTCCTTAAGTTTCAACGAAAAATTAACTTGCATCTTAAAAATATTAATTAAACGGCCAAAAGGTTACCTATTCAAAGGCAAAAAAAGGAATCTGAAATCAATTTTTTTTAGGTTTTGCAATATTTTGCAATTTTGCAATAATTGAAATAACCAATTACTTTTTCCTGGATTAAACTAGAACCGGTGATACTTTACTTTTTTGCAAATTAAATTATTTTGATTGAAATTCTGATAGCGCTTTTTACTCCAAAGTACTAATGTGTTAGATAATTAATAGATAATAGAAAGTTAGACAATAAATAATTAAGGGAATGGATTAATTAGGAAAACGCTTGTGTGAGTGCTTCTAAGTTATTCCTATTGCTATCCGCGATAAATTATACTTTTGCAAACTTTCAGTGTTGCAATTTGCGTCGATTCCTATGGAAATAAAATTTCCTATAGAGTTTAGCTATGAGCTTTTTCTTAGTTATTAATGGGAAAATGGTTTCAAAGAAAAACTCTTAACATGCTTACGGGAATTGCAAGATTTGGATTGATTTTTCCTTAAAATAATCCAACAAAAAAAAAATAGAAATACAGCCTGCTTATATGCAGAATCCGAAAAAAAAGGAAAATAGAAAAAAAAAAGAATGGAAAAAGTTAAAAAAAAAGCATTTTTTTATCAAGACGCTAAATTTTTGAAATCAATGGCCAAAAATGTAAACATTCATTTTAACAGAAAGAAGTTTGTAGATTTATTTTTTGCTATAAAATGGAAATCCAATTCTTTATAATAGAAACAAATTCGTTGCTATGAGAATCAACTTATTGTTGATTTGATTTAGTATTTTATACACAGAGTGAGTCGAAAAGATTGGACAACCCGTTAGTGATACATTCTTTTTGTAAAATTATTGTGACTTTATTACGTCATTTAATTTTTCATTGTCGGTTTCTAAACAATTCCATATTTATTTGTAACTATCTCAGTTTTTATATATTTGTTGAAACATGATATATGTCATTGTCCTGTTAGCTTAGAATTTCATGCTAATTTTGTAAAGAAAAACTGCATACTAGCAGAAAAAAATAGGTGTCCTGTACAACATTACCCTCTCAATTTTCTCTAATTAAAAAATCACCAATAGTAAATTAGTAAAGTATATTAATTATATTAATTGATAAGAAATAATGTTAAGTATACAAATTTTATAATATAATTAGGCAAATGTACCCTTTTCGCTAATAAATATGCGTGCCCTTTTATAATTTAATTGAATTAAAGAGAAATCTGCCGTAATCGGTGGATTAGGACCTGTTTACCGAAGATTCTGTTTATGCTTTTGGCATTGCTAGTGAGCAACACTTGACAAGCGAATAGTGGAGGTAGAATTGAAACAAAGAGCAATAGTTTTCAAAAAATTAGTTTTTCACTTACTAAAAGGGTTTATACCAAAATAACATTTTATAATAAAAGTTCATAACTATAACCCTTCTCGAGAACACTTTAATTTTTTCTCGTTATCAAATAGATAATTTCGCCCTAATGCTGCTTCCAGTTGGTCAAACACTCAATTCATCAGCCGAATTGTTTCATATTACCTTTGGTAGGCAATATTTCTATTAATCGAAATAAGAGTCCCATGTTCGACTGTATACCCAACGGTGTGCCTTAGAGATGTGGGTGTTTGACACTAACTTTATTCTCATTGAGCAAATATCTATGAAAAATGTATCCGATTAACTGGACTACGGTGTACGAAGTTCTTTCAACATTTGTTCAACTTTATCTTCTTTACACAAGGTAAACAGTAAATTGGCAAATTCATCTATAATATGGACACAGGTCCACCAAAATCACACTTCTAGTTTGGAAAGTGAGCAACGTAAATTCTTCGGATATTTCGACTATAAGTTATGTTAAATTGGATATTATGATTCAAGACAATTTTATCAACTATATGACTGCAACTGTTTGACATAAAATTTCTTGTGTCCACCCTCTATAAACTTCCTAATAATTCTATAGACCCTTCGTCCCCACTGGAGAGAATCCTAATACCACTCTAAATTCCAAGCAGTGATTTGACTCACTGGAGTCTAAAGGATTATTAATTAGTTTTCTTTTCTTCAAACCTCCGTTGTACTGTTTATTTATTATTGCTATGAACACTTTTCGTTTTTAAGTTGCTTTATTTTATTTAACACATTTTCTGTAATTA